AGAAGGGAAAAGGAGAGAGGGGCGCAATTGAACATATGATACAGAATTAGGGTTTACTCTCGTAATAAAATTGAGTAAATTGCAAAGTTAGTCAGTAATTTCATTAGGGTTTTGAAATAGGCCTTAATATTTACTCTTTTTGTAAAATGGTCACCAAATTCACCTTTAAGCATCCAAAAATTTTCATCAATTCAATTTAGTCCTTAAATCAATTTAGGGATTTGTAGAAAAAACTTCAAATTCTAGAGTTTCAAATTAGGACTAAAATTGAGATGTTACAACTCTCCCTTTAAAGAAAATTTCGACCTTTAAATTTTATTTGGAGGGAACAGATGCGATATTGAGCCTTCATGAAGACTTCGGTTTCCCACGTAGCCTCATCATAACCTCGATTACACCATAATACCTTGACCATCTTAATGGTCTTCATCTGAAGTACTTTCTTGTCCTTCTCAAGAATTTCAATTGGCTCTTCTTCAAACCTCTACCTTAGCCACAACCATAACATGAGACGGGTCAGCTCTATAACATTTTAACACATAACATATAAAAACATCATGAAAATGTGCAAGCTCGGGTGGTAATTCAAGTTGATAGGAAAATGGTCCAACAAGATGAATAATTCGATAAGGGCTAATAAAATAAGGACTTAGCTTGCCTTTTTGACCAAAACTTAGTACATTTTTCCAAGGAGATACTTTCAAGAAAACTCGTCACCCATAACATACTCAATATCACAATGTTTTAGATCAGCGTAAGACTTCTACCCGTCGAAATGGGTCTTAAATCTATCCCGAATCAATCCTGACAGTCTATTCTGTCTCGAAAACCAAGTCTGGTACCAATAATCTATGCTCATTAAACTTAGTCCAACCAATAGGAGTTTAGCACTTATATCCATACAGAGCCTCATAAGGTGTCATTTTAATATGGACATGGTAAATATTATTGTATGCAAACTCTACCAACGATAATAAATAATTTCTAAATAATTTACCAACCAATGTCAAATGGTTTACACCATCATCCAAACACTATAAAATATTATCCAAAAATATTTTCCAAAAAATGTAATTTATTTTATGAATTTTGAAATTTGTTTTTCATGAAACAAACGGACCATTTCCCTACAACCGGGGAATGTCTTACTATAATTCTTAATAATTAAAATATTATATATATATATATATATGAAACAATTTGTTTAAATACATTATATAAATAATAGAAAATATTGATTTTTTACGTCATCTAAAAATAAAAAATAAATTAAGCTTTTTTTATCTAGCAAAGTGGATATAAATTTGATTTACTTTCAGAGATATTCCTTCGTGAGAAATGATTTCGCCTCACTCCTCCATCTATCAAGTCCTTCGGAGGAATTCATCCATTGATCGAAACCTTCGAAGTTTCACATCATTCGACCAACCACAATCTCTTGATAATATTATTGATGCACGAGATTTGCCATAGACAAATCCATTGTTATACAGTATATAAGTCTCTAAACATGGCTTCCAGAAGGGGATCTTTCTTTCTTTTTCTCTCTTTCTTATATTGTTCGTCGTCATTAGCTCGCCACTCCCTTAAAAAAACCATCGACTGTGGCTCTCAGTCTAAATCAAAAGGGGTGAACCATCTATAACCGTTGTAACCTACATTGTTCCATCAACAATTTGTAAGATGAGAGTGGACCTACTCCTCGATGAAAAGAATCAGTCAAAATGAACCCGAAAGAGCAAAATGACTAACCCAACTTTCTATTATCTTCTCAAAATTCTTTTTATGTACCTAGTTTTTTCGGCTAACAGCAACAAACCACCTATAAATCGACCCACTACTAGACTTACCAGGGTGCCTACGACCAGACTAATCAAAAGTACCCCCAACAATCATACACGTAGTTTTCGTATTCCCATGACCAAAACCTCATACAAGTTCACAACTTGTAGAATGAGCTGTAAAATTTGCATACATAATTCTAAGCATCCCAAGTGACCCAACTACAGCTACAAGAGTTTATCCAAAAAACTGTCCAAGAGTTGTAATTCCCTTGCGCCAAGGAAGTATACTCCAAGGAGAAGAGAAAGATGGGACCTTCAACGCTGAGGAGAGACGTAAGTAAGAACATGTCTTTCCTCACCTGAACATCTTAAATGATATAGTTGACCTCCTTCTCCGTCGAGATTAATCATAAGGGGTAACATTGAATATGTTCCTCAGCTTATCGACCCAAGGGAGCAGGAATAGAGAAATCAAATAACGATCACACATAGGTAAATCAATGATCTCTGAGTTGTAAACAACCTAGGAGGGGATTGGACTATAGAGGAACATGGTCTTCTCATGCCCCAAGCATTAGCCACTTCCTACCCCCACACTTCAAGCTGACCAAGGAGACCTATGATGGAACTAGAGATCCCATAGGAACATATCACAATAAAAAAAACTATATGGACACCATGGAGCCTCTGATAAGTTGAAACGTAAGGTCTTTTCGGACCACATTGTGAAGAGGAGATAAAGACTGGTATGAATCCCTGCCCACAACAACTACAAAAGACTTCAAGCAATTGTTACACATTTTTGTCGGTCACTTTGAGGAGAGGAGCTAAAAACTAGTATGAAACGCCTTTACAGTGCTTCAGGTTCCACTCCAATATATTTAGGCCATCAAGTGCTCCAGGTTCCAATCCAATATATTTAGGCAATTAAGTATAGCTTAAAGTGCGTAAAGCAAGCTGCACACGTGCTTATCCTCAACATCCCCGAAGCTTTAAAATTTCTCCAAGGCCTCATTGGTCAGTTCTTCAGCATCAACCTTTATAGAGAGAGACAATTGAATCTTCCCATCTGAAATGCCCTTTTGATTCCCTTTCACACATCGTTGGCTTGTAAGAACTCATCTTTCTCTCCAGTGATAGTCTTCTTCATTATGCTTAGAAGAGAGTTTGAAAAAAGAATAAGATTTTATCACAAAAACTATTACGACGAATTGAAAGTCAAAAGTGAATGAAACTATGGACTTTTACCCTAATTTTCCCCTTAAATAGAGGGATATGTTCCCAACTATCACAATTTGTGCCTCGTGAATGCATCAATCATTGAAGAACATATGTATGAACCTTTAACCTCTACAAAGAGATCGTCCTGATGTTCCCTAAAAATTGACTCATTAAATGCAATGAATATTGTTGCACGTGAGTCTTGGATCAAATCACTTTATGACAATCCTTCAACTACGACGACAAGTGATATACATGTATAGATATTAATCTACATACAACAATTCTGCCCCTACTTATTCACTCATTGAGGGATTTGGAGGAATTCCTCCGCTGATCGAAGTCTCTAGAGTTTCATATCATCTGACGTGTCTATAGAGGTATATCATTCTTCATTAAATGCAATAAATATTGTTCGTATTTATTTGCTTGGCTTGCCTACAAATAACAATGATGACCTAGACCTGATACCCACATGCACGAAGAGTTAATATATAAACCTTCATGCACGATTGCCAAAAAGAACTCTCTTTTTCTCTCTTATACCATTCCTCATCTTCATCTCTTTCTTCTCCTTAAAAAAGAAAAGGAAAACCATCAGCTATAACTCTTCGCCAAAATTATAAGGGATGAACCGCCTATAATTGTCGAAACCCACATTATTCATCAACAAAATCCTAGATTTAACTTGCAAGCTAATTGTAGACCATAATTATTTTAAATCCATCATTTATAATTAAATAAATAATGATATAATGATAACAAAATCCTCTAACGTTTGATTAGATATTCACTTTAACTCATATTTTTTTGTTATGAAGTATTTTAGTCCCTGTCATTTCATTTTAGGGGGAAAAATCCTTTCGTGGATGGAATCTATTTCTCAATAAATGGTTAGCGCTCCAAAATAGAGGCCTCTTTCACACCAAAATGAAATGTTGAGGGACTAAAATGCTCCAAAACAATAAGAATTAAACTAGTTATTTAGTCAAATTTTAGACTCCTTTTGGCCCTAAAATAAAATATCTCGAGTCTAAAATACTCTAAAAAATAATAGGAATAAAAACAATTATTTAATCAAACATTAAATATATATATATATATATTATACCCTAAATAATTATTTTTGATTTCCTCACTTCAGCATAATTCTAAAATAACTTGCATGAATTATAATTTATTAGGTATAGATATAATTTTTTAAATTATATACATTTGATTGAGACATTTTTTAATCTATATATTTTTTAAGATCTCGTTTTTGTCTAAAAAATATCTTAGTCTCACTTTTAATTTTAAATTTTTACTGAAAATATTAAGATGGCATTATATTCATCAATGATTTTTAAAAGGCATATTTAAACATTATAACGGTGAAGTATGGTACAATCACTTTAAGAAATAGAAATAAATAATTGTCCACAATTACCACTAGAGGTGCATAAAAAATTCAAAAATCCGATTTTACTCAAAAAAATATCCGAAACCAGATTTGGGAAAAATCAGTTTTTTAAACCGGATCGGATATTTTAAAACCGGATAGTATAACCGGTTTGGAAAAAAATTAGACGACCGAATTTTTTAGCGGATTAAAAACCGGTTTGAAAAAAACCGAATAAAAAATTGGTTTTTTATCCAGGAAAAAAAACCGGTCTGGGGTTTAAAAAATTCGGTCTGGGGTTTAAAAAATTGGAAGACCGGATTTTTTACCGGATTAAAAACAGATTTTTTTTAAAAAAACGGGTTTTTTCAAACCGAAACCGGTTACATCATACGGCCCTCCAAACCGGTTATGATCCAAACCTATTTTTTTATAAACCAATTTTTCCGGCTATGTGCATCTCTAATTACCACTTTGAACAAATAATTTAAATATATATATATTTTTTAATTTTAGTTCATAGGTTAAAGAATATAAAGTTAAAGACTTATTAAATATGAGAAATTATGATTCGACACAAAGAAAACATGAAATAATTAGCGCACTGCAATATATAAAAAAGAACAAAACGGTTCCTTTAAATACCGATTGATAAAACGATTAAAACGAAGCACTACTTGTCTGCAGGGTTTAAAACCCAACAAAATCACATCCAAAAAATTTCTTGACGCAAACCATTCTTAAAAGCAAAGAAATAACTATCTGCTGACTCGTAATAATGTCGACTGTGATATGGAGGCACTCAACGCTTCTTAGAGACACCAACAGTCTTACCTCGACGACCAGTCGTCTTGGTGTGCTGACCACGGACACGCAGACCCCAATAGTGCCTCAGACCACGGTGATTCCTGCATCACAGTATAATATCAATATTAGCTGGTTTCCATTGCATCATGACATGCCCAAATATATGTGACTACATACTGTCAATAGGCTCATATAACGATTAATCATATATGCAACTACAACTTATCATGTAAATATGAACGGTAATTACATATCAGAAATGTATCACTACTCAACCATATGATGTATTCATCTTAATCAACGACAAGCATCATGAAGACACCAAGGGCATACAATTTTGCTTGCAAGACCCCAACTAAAAACGACAGGTAAGAAAAGACAACACGTTCTATTCGGTCTTGAATACAATGTTGTAGAAGAGAATTATCACAAATAAATTGGCTAAACTATTTGCTTAGAAATGCAAAAGCAATTGTTAGTAATAGAAAGGGAAAACAAATTCTGGCACAGATGAATAGGAACAGAGGATTAACCTGATCTTCTTCAAGCGCTCCAAGTCATCTCTCAACTTCATGTCAAGAGCATTAGATACAACTTGGGAATATTTCCCATCCTTGTAATCCTTCTGCCTATTCAAAAACCAGTCTGGGATTTTAAACTGCCTCGGGTTTGAGACAATTGTCATGAGATTATCCAACTCCTGAGCAGTCAATTCACCGGCCCTACGAACAACAAAGTAAATCAAATACAAGTTTTTATCTCAGCCCTATAATACACACCAAGAACTGGAAGCAATTTAGCAACTTTATCACACCACAGCCTATCCTACATAATTTATACACAATTCCAACCTAGAAGACTAATTGGTCTATGGTTAAAACGTGAAATGTCCAAAAGCATATCATATACTATTATCTAAACTTTGTAGCACAATACATATAAATAAAAATTAAGCCTAAGATCCTTTTTTTTTTTGCATATACGAAAAGGAGGAGATGCAAAAACCTCTTGTTCATGTCAACATCAGCTTTCTTGCAAACAATGTTGGCGAAACGCCTTCCGATACCCTTGATGGAAGTCATAGCAAACATAATCTTCTGCTTTCCATCAACATTGGTGTTCAACACAAGCAAAATGTGCTGAAAATCTTCGTTGGCCACCACAGACTAAAACAAGCAAACACAAATAATCAAAAAGAGAATTAAAATGAAGTTAAAAGCAACACTCTTTAGATGGGAGAAACACAGCCCAATTTAAATCAAGAAAATCCCACTTTATAAACGCTCATAACAACTCATTTATCGTTTCCCAGATTTATACAAAAACTGTGACTTAGATCAAATAAGAAAGCCTTTTTAAACTACTGAAAGTGATGAAATGATGAAATAATGGCACGGATATGTAAACATTGAGGGTTCGGATGAGAAAGAGAAATTAGTAATTACCATTTTTACAGGTATGAGGAGATTCGGCGGAAAGAAGAGACTCTGGGGGAACTGATGAGCTTATGCAGTATGCAACCTAGGCCAACCTATGAAGTAAATTATTTAATTATATTTAAAATTTTCTTATATTTTTTTGTTTACATCAAATTGACCACAATCTTTTTTTTGTCCGTGAGGATCCTACGAGAGCGCCTTCTACATCTAATATGTCATGAACTACATCAAAATCATTCTCAACAAACCCATAAGAAGTGATCTCATTTTTTTATCGGGTCTAGATAGAGACCAAAGGTCTTAAGTGATCGATCTAACAAAACAACTCAAAAAATAAAGAAGTATCGTTAATTTCTTCATGCTCGTTCCAAGCTTGAAGTACCATTTGTACAAATAAGAATCCCCTTCGTTACATGATTTCTTCTTTATATGGACAGATATAGGATCTAAGGGACAATTGCTTGAAAGTACATTGTAACACCCTCAACCCGTATCTGACCCGAATACGAGTCCGAGATGTCACATCAACTTTTCAAATAGTTTACTATTACAAAATAGAGGAAAATTTAAACATACTTAATAATTTATATATATTAACTCAAGAGTTTACAAAAGGGTTCAGAGCTTCTACCATTTAATTATTTAAATACATGACAACATTATACAATACAACAAATAACATGCTTATAATTTTCTTCTGATCTGATCTTTGATGACGCTATGATATCTCCCGCTACCTATCTTTGCTTTGGAACTTCTCGGATCCTACGTGTGAAACACTCACACGCTAAGCCATAGACTTAGTGAGACATATAAATAAATAATGGAGACTATAACTAATGAACAAATGCATTTACATTTCATGCAACACAAACTTATATGAATACACATTTATTATCATTACTCTTTTTCATCAATTATACTTGTAATTAACACTTATCTAGATCATATCATACATTTTCACATGGCAAAACACATGGCAACATATACACTTTCTTTATATTATGTTTTTAATAGCCCATGTATTCTTGTGAGAACTTAAGGTATGTGAGTACATAGAGATTGTGCACTAATGTTGTCACCACAGCTCGTAAAATTCCCACTAGGGGCGCGTAGAATTTCTCCCGAAGGACCACTATGTCCCGAAGGACCACTATCACATATCACATATGTCCCGAAGGACCACATAGAACCCTCGACTCTTGGCATGCCAACTATACCTATAGCTCTCATAACACATAACATGGGCATTATCTTTTATATCATTTTACATATTCACATAGGCACATAATTTACTTTCACGTAGCACATTTCCATATAATTCACATTCACGTTTCACATGGCTTCTCACATTTACTTGTATTATTTTTCGCATAGCTCATAATCATGTGTCTTATCTCATAAACATATATTCACATATACATGTTCTCATATATTTCATATCATTTCTTATACAATCACATAATTCAATTATATCATTTAACATAGCTTATCACATTGACATATATTCACATAACTCATTTAACATACATAGCATATCATGTAACATTCTAATAGAGTCACCTCATTTATCACAAATACATACATTCACATAGACCACATGTATATATGCACTTAATATCTAATCATATGCCTTTATTCCTATACATCTATCATCATAACACTACATGCTTATGTTCCAATATCCATATAACCTAAAATAGAAATTAGACTCCTCAAAGTCTTAATTCCCTTACATAACCAAATCTTAAAATCATGTACTCACCTGATCTCAATTGGCACTACCAAGCTCTTGTTCTCTTATGCGAATCTTACTCTGACGCCTATCCGAAATTTGCTTTTGATCAATATCTACACGAATATAGTCCAATGAATATCGGAACTGAATTACTTAACAAAATTCATATAAAAAAAGCTAAATAAAACACAAATTCCCACTTTCATACTTTGAAGTATCGGTACTACCCAAACAGTATCGATACTACCCTTCAAGGGTATCGATACCTCCCCATGGTACCTGATAGGGAAGCGGTGGTGGGTTAAGGAATGTTGCTCTTATTAAAGAATCAAACCTATAAAGCTCTAGACTCGATAAAGAACATAGGGGGGATGAATAAGGGAATGTGGTGGCAGCAACTAGGATTCATTAGGGTTTCTTTGAGGTACTGGAAACAAGGTAAGAAACAAGATTAAAACAAGATAAACAAAAGATAAAGAAATTGAAAATAAAGTAAGATAACCAAGAAATCAAAAGATCTCCCTTATTAAGGTGAATGGTAAAGATGATGATGGTGATTATGGATTTGTGGAAAATACATAGATAAGTGTCCTATCGAGCCCTCCTAGTCACAATGAAAAGGCAAACACGATAATGTGGCTCTAACCAACCCTCCTAGTCGCGATGAAAAGGCAAATTGGAGTGTGAAGATTAATCTCCCTCACAAGAACTTGAAAGAACTCAAGGATAAGAAGCTTCGAAGGCACAAGGCAATTAGCACTTGCAAAAACGAACTCTCGTTGTATTATTAATCAAAGCAATCTATTTTACAAAGTTGAATTAAGCCTCCTTTATATAGGGGCTGAGTTCTAAAGGTCATAAATAACTAAAGAATAAAATAATAATAAACTAAACATGTATTAACTCTAATTCCTAATAAAATAATAATAACTAAAAATATTGTTTTAACCCAACCTTAATTCCTAATAAAATAATAAATATGATCCTAAAAGATAATTCATCATCCTATATTAAATTATATTACAAATAATCAATATAAATATTGAAAATTCATAATATTTACAAAATCACGTATTAATCATGTATAGGATTTCCTGCATGCACCGTCTTCAGTAAAATAAATGTATCTTGAGTTCCCGATATCCTATTTAAGTGATTCAAGAACTGTTGGAAATATAAGAGACAGACGGTTGTATCTTTAGAAGACATGTTAACCAAATAAGATCAGGATCCCATTCAAAAAGTCATCGTAAATCTGTTTCTGTTATGATCTTCTTTTCCAAGGCTTGGACGAGTGGATCATTTTGGAAGAGTTATTACTTATTCCTTTGATGTGAGCCTTGTGATGCATGTATTATCCTCCCTTTCTTCAAAAAAGATCCGACCTCGAATCTAAGACATTAAAGGGAGCAACATTAGAATAGTTTAATAATTCATTCACATTATGCTTACCGAATATATATGCTTTGAATCTTCGAGACTTTGTTCTTCTAATAGGTTCAAGTAGAAACATTAGTCCAAAGAAGCATGTATTACAGACCCTGGTGCATGTATCATTCCCCCACTCCTAAAAAGGATTCGTCCTCGAATATGAAAATCCAAAAGAAAGAGAATTAGATGTGTTGAAAGAAAAACTTGTGAAACATTTACCAGGATCAATGTGATGTGTCTTTATGCGTTTTAGTCGAGGTTTCTTCTTTGTAGGAACTGATTTCTTGTAGTCTTGAAATCCTCTTTTTCATACAAGTCTTGTAATTTGATGTTTAGGTTGAAATTAAACATGACGCCGACCAATGTTGGCTTTCTGTATGATTGCTTCAGATAATTTCTCCATGGTTTTATTCGTGTGTGGCGAGAATGAGTGTTTAAAAACCTTGTCAACTAGTTTGTTAAAGTAATCCCTTAAGTCTTCTAACTGTGGTTCATGAGTTAAGAATTCTCGAGAGGAGATTTGTGGACTGTAGAACCTGTTTAGTTGGCAAGGAAACTCATATACAAGATAAAGCTCATTAAAAGAACTTTTAAAAGTATGGGTAAAAATATCAAAAATATCTGAGTTATCGTGATATACATTTTTTATATGTTTAATTCTCGGAATAGTAGTATGCGTTTGATAGGTAAGAGTATACTTTCGTGGTAGTGCATCGTCTACTGTGTTTTGCTTACCTCGGTCTTTGGACTCTCGTAAATCATGACTCTTCATTGATATGACATAGTGATTAGGGATTTCAGGTGGTAACCCATTAGGAGGGTCATATAGCACTATTCGATAACTCTTGGAGATGGAAGATGGTGTGGGTCAGTCTCGTGTTGCTTTTACTTTCTAATCATTTACATGGATTCCCTGTGCACGAACTATAAAGCATATGGAGTTGTTCAAGTCATGTTTCGTGATTAAGATGGTGTCACGACTAAGGTTTTCCTGGATGTATCCTTTTTGTAATAAATCTAACTCTTTTGGTTTCTTCGAGATTGTATGTTTGACGAGGTATGATGGAACCTTGAAATAGATTGGTTTGGTGTTGTTTTCCTCTTTTCGGTGGTAATTCGTTAGGTGGATCACCTAACACTTCTCGAAAATCATGTAAAAGAGATAGATAGCGGGGCTTCATTCTTATAGTAATCAATACATAGCTTTCTTAGTTATTTATTTTAAAACTTTTTTTTATTTCTGTATTGTTTCTGATTCCATGTCCCCATTCTTCATCCTTTTAAGCGAACTCTTACATAATGAAAAGAATTGCTTCTTTTTTTTCTGTTAATTATCCTTGTTATTTTCCTTATAGTGATACATTTGTTCGTACCTTTCTTTATTTTTTAAACAGATAAAATAGGTTGGGTTTTAATTAGGTATATGTCTAGGAAATATGGCTAGGTAGCTTTCGAGGACTTATGAACGAATATTTATTTTACCAAATTAAAATGAAAAAACAACCAAAGATGATCCTTAGCACAAGCGCTAAGCGATAATAATTCCTTTCCTAAGGACTCTTCTTAGGGAGTAGGAAGTGTCTGCAAGCCTAGTCCTTTGAGCTCGGACTCCAACAAGAGTTCGAGCATTATAAGCAGGGGTAGGACTAGTCTGGGTATGAATCCTTTCCTAGAGTGAGTCCTTCTGTAAGTAGAAGGCAGCCATCTAAGGGATGCAACTAGTCTGTATGCAAAGCATCCAGTAAGAGTCCCCTTCTGTAATAGGAACTCCCTGAAGGTGCTATCCTATGAGCAAAAGCAAATGAAGATCTAGAGCGAGTCTTCTGATCTACGACCACCCTAAGGAGATAGAAGGAGCAAGGCTCTAATCCCCATTTTACCTATTAATTAGAGCAAGGAATCCCTAGAAGCTAAAAGAGTCAAG